ATTGTTTATTCAACAATAAGCTCTTTGTGTAAATAATACTTAAACAACATACAATGCCCACGCACACACACACACACACAGAACCACAGTACATAATGAGAAATGACTGACGTAATCGGCTTTATATGTCCATACACAAACGTAAGCATTTCTCCAACCAAAACCGTATTCTATTCTCCTACATGATGAGGTCATGACAATATCTATGAGAGTATGTCAACAGTTTAACACTCGGGTAAACATTTGGCTGGCGGCGCTGACCAAATGAATAAAACTCCCAGCTCTCCTCCTCTCTCATTGTTGTAGCTGAACGATTAGTATAATTTCAATACACACATATAGTTGATAGATATTCATAAATTTTTATATTATTAATTAAATTAATCAAATTCACATTAGCGGCACGCACGCACATACGCTCTTCGGACCCGGGCTCTCGTTGGGCCACTTGAATCGAAGCGAATCGAATCAACTTTGGGAAGTCATTAGAGTGCGGCCATAACAAACGGTAGGGAGTTGAAGTAATAGAGCGCCAATAGAGCGAAGAAGCGTCGTTATTAACTGCCAAATGATTTCTTTCATTCGTTCAATGAACTTGCCACAATAAATGCCAACAGGCAAATCAAAGCCATATTAATAATCGCCAATCAAAATGCTAATCGTATTAATGGCCGATTTCGGATTGTTGAGTATAGAAAAAGTGGAATGAAACACCAAGACAAAATCTGCCTCTCTCTCTCTCTCTCTCCGGCTCAAAAAGAAAATCGTGGTTATGGAAAAACCAGAAACTTGCAACTCAAACCGGCAAAGCAAAAAACAAAAATTCTACTTAGCTGACATCATTTAGAAGAACTCAGAGACTAGAAAGCTCAACCAGTCTCTGAGACATACGAGTATTTGAATGTATTTATGGAGATCATGTCTGGGCCATGCCTGTTTGGCATTGCAAATCTCAGCGGAGTTGCAGAACCAGGAAGCGCACAAACAAACAAAAAAATTACAAAACCAAATTGTGGCAGTTGCAATTCCAGTTGCAAAGAGTGGCAAAGTTTTGCGCGTCGAACGTGCCAGAACTTTATAAAGGAGGTGAAAGTTCCACTTGGAGTTCGATAGAGAATAGCTTGGAAAAAAAAATTTAATAGTAGATACTAAACCATATTATTTCGCTGGCTAAAAACTATTATTTGCAGCAATTTATTTCGCATCATCTTTGACTCACTATTTTTTGTTTATATACAGAAAGAATAATCAAACTGTTCATTCTCTCATTTTATATTCCACTCTAACTGTAAATGAATTGTTTTAAGAACTTTTTCATTAGAGGCCAACTTTTTACCAAAGCCAAATCAAAGTGGTAAGCTAGAGCTGCAAAATTTATTGCTATCGATTGTAATTACTCAAGTAGTTTCATTCTGCTTTGAAAGTAATTTTTCCAGTTTTTCATCTCTCTTTACTAATGCAAATCGTTTTCAATAAAAGCAAGTGAGGAGAGCAGAGGAAGGAAAGAATAACAGGAATTCCTATACAACAACAACAAAAACTGTGCTTGTTGCTGTTCGCTTACTGTTAAATGATTGTGTGTAACGGTATTCTTTTAATGATGGCTAATAACTCGGCAATGACAACAACGATACAGAGAATACAGCATAAATACATACATATCTATATATATAGAACCCAAAGAATTTCTGTAGGCATTTTCCCCCATGGCCTGTAGAAAATAATTGGTCAACAGCAACAAGCACCGAAAGAGAGTGGGGAACAAACTTTTGCCGCCGGACATGACAGCAACAAGAACAGCAACAAATGTAATACTAAATAACAGCAACAACAACAACAACCGCAACGGCACAGCAACATGTAGAAGAACAATAGCAACAAGTTGGTAAAGACAGGAAGCCATAGGAAACATTGTCAGCTACACCCAACGTGACATCATCAAAACAATACAAATAAATAACTGCCATGAGTAGGCAAGGCTAAGCGATACCCTGCAAAAAAATAAAAAAACAAATCATAGTTAATAAAATATTAAATGTAAATAAACAATGTTTTATTTTATTGATGCATTATTTGCATAGGAAAAATAACAGTGCATAACATACACTTTAGAAAATGCTTTACAGGGTATCAACAACAACTACTCGACACAATTGTCTGCTGGTAATCCAACGACCAGGCTGCGCGTTTGGCTTTCACGATTGCAATTAAAGGGCGTATGAGAGAAGACAGAGATAGATAGAGAAGAGGCTAGGGAAAGGGAAGCCGACTTAAGTAAGCAGCCAACTGACCGGCAGATGCCAATGACCCAGGGGCGTAACTGATGATGACCATTACCAACAACATTAACATTAACATTTAACATTAAACATTACGATGATGATGAAGCGCAATAAAAGTGTTTAAAGTAATGGTAAAAAGCCAAACGCGAAAATAAACAACAATTAAAAACTGAACGCAAATGCGTAACGAAACAACAACAGAGCGAGACGGTGCGACATCGAGCACTGAGCATGCTGAATAAAAATAAAAAAAAAAAAAGAAGGCAGACAACAATAACGAAAACGTAAAACAACAACAGACTCCAGCTTTACATGAGCGTAGCTTTACACACACACACACACACACAAAGACACTGCACAAGACAATGACCTAGAGCGAGAGAGCGGCAACATCGAAGAAGAGTCATTAACATGAGCTTGAACTAGTTGCCCAGGCAACATGTTGACAGAGCGAGCCGAAGAGAGCGCATGATCAACTGCTGCTTGGGCAGTGCCTAGGCCAAGGTCAGCTTTGCAACATGTTGACAGCATGCACTTGTGCGTGTGTATAGCGTGCGATGTTGCAATCGCTCATGTTGCCAGCCGCAAATGTTGCGTGTCATCGTTCGCATTGTGTGAGAAACACGCTGCCAGCAACAAGCTGCATTTGCTGCTGTGCGGGTCAAATGTTGAGCACGCAACATGCATACAGACATGTTTACGTGACCAGGGGGAGACATGTTGCCTGGCAAACCACTTCAAATTAAAGGTCAGCCTGAGGTAGGCAGCCAATCAACGGCTCGCTGCTCGTAACTTTATAATCATTTTCAACACATTCTGCTCCAACTCTTTTATACTATTTTTTCTTGAATTACCCCCGCTGTTGCGCCTCCGCCACTCTCACGACAACATCTCGGCTCTAATAATCATGACTTGTTAATCTTTACGCTTCTGCCTTCACACTCGCTACCATCTGGCCAAAGCACATTTTCTCAACCTCTTTTTCCCCAACGCCGTCGCTTCCTCTTCCCCTTTCCTCTTTTTCTCTTTTCCTATTTTATCTGCTGCGTGTCACGTCTGGCCAGCTGCCTGCACCAAGAAAAAGGTAAGCATAAGAAGCAACAAGCCGGGCATTTAACGGTGTATATGTTCTGTTTATGCTGCTTCCACGTCTTCTTGCTGTTGGAAGCATATTTTTCACGCATTATTATTATCATTATCGTTATTATTTTTATTATTATAGCTCAGGCAACAACACCATCATCATCATCATCATCAGCAGCAGCAGCAGCCGCATGATATAAGTGGAAAAAGCCATTGGAACGTTTAGTTTTCAGTTTTTGCCCACCTCTTGCCTGAGCAGTGCCATTTTTGTGGGAAAACCCTTTTCCACTCCATTTCAATGCCAGCCAGCGCCATCTTTAAAGTTTTCTTAAGCGTTTCTTGTGTGGTTATCCTTGGCCAAGGCAAAACACTTTCATTCGTCGCATTACTTTTTGTTAGGAGGAGTTTTCGTTTTTCTTTTCGGAAGAAAATCACCAAAGTAAAAACCAACCTTGAACAGACGTTTCCTTATCGTGGGTGTTGCCAGAAATGCGTTGCTTGCAGACGATTTGCACCTTACCGCACCCCTTCGCCTCGGCTGATTTGCCCCGCTTACATTTTGCTGTTTAGTGACTTGGAAAAGCGCATGAAAATTCGTTTTTCTTTTATTTTTATTTCTCTTGGCTATTTTCAAGCTATTTTTTTGGCACATAACCAAGGTTAAGTAAGCCGGAACAAGCTGTTTACGCTGTGAAAGACTACGAACGTAACGCATTCTACGCCAATTGAAAATGAAGGACAAATTTGTAGATTTGCGGGTCAGCTTGAAATGAAAATGAGCGCAGATTTTCTGCAAGGCTTGACTAAAAACTTGTAGATCTCTTCAATTAAATGTTGTATGTTGTTGTATTCCATGTCTCCTGTTTCTAATCTCTCAAATTTTTCTTTCGCCTGTCAATTAATATTACCTAGAAAAGCAACTTGAAGCTTTTCTTACAGTTTCTGTCCTTTCAATTGTTGACCTTTCTGATTTTATCAAGCAATTTCGACCTTTTTTCTCCACCGCCTGCCATTCGCTGTTATTGTCAAGGTCTTTGGTTTGGACTTGTCTCTGGGTTTCATTCGGGTTTATTCACTTTTATGGCATCGATGAACGAGACAGTTGAGCTGAGACTGTGCAGCGAAAAGCAGAAACAAGTAAGGAAAAGCACAGCAGAGAGGAACATGAACTGCAATGAAATTGAAAACGTTACGCATGCGTTTTCAATGGGCCCCAGCAGGGGCTGCGGGAGCATGGGAGGGGCACTCTCTTCGCTGCTATTGAATGACACAAAGCATTAGGCGAAATAGTTGATGCCGCGCATAGACAAACGCACTGAAGTAAATGGAAAATTGCATTCACAAAAGTGCAGCAGCTGGAAACGTGAGGTGAAGCAGAGCAGATGCCGCCTCCATCTTCCTCTTGGACTTGGATAACCCAATGCCCCTTACGGCTCCTCCTTCACTGAGGAAATGTGATATGTGCGTTCGCTGTCTGCTTCATCATCTGTTTCGTTTGTTGTTTTTCGCTCGCGAAAGTCAATAAAAGTGGAAAACTCCACAGCGGCCTCGGTCATAAGTTGTCCAGCCATAAGCGTGTCCAAACGCCAGGATTACCAAGCAGCAGCAGCAGCAGCAGCAGCAGGAGCGCGGCAGGACGCCAAGAAGAGATAGCAGGAGAGAGCTTTTGTCATGTCCGGGCGCATATCGCTCGCCATCTTGTGGCTCATTGTGGTCAGACTGGAAGGTAACACAGCGGCTGGCAACAGTGGCGAGAGGTAAGGATATTCAACCAAAAAAAAAAAGAATTGAAGATGAATAAGCTCTACTAAAACGGCTGTAACTAACTGCTCCATACTCTATCCATGCACATTCATTGATAGTTACCCCACTTTCACAGCTCTTTATACCTATTATCAAGTCTTTTCATTTGCAATACTCTGACTCAAATAGACACGAATCTACGTTTTATAGTTTTCCAGCTCTACTTGCACTTTGATCAAACCAATATACCCCTTTCAAGCACACACAAAAACAGTGCATTCAAAGTAAATGTTTAATCTGTTTGCCCAGGGTACACATACGTCTGCACATGCCGGATGTTGTGCGTCAGCACACGCACTTCCACAAGGTCTACAAGCACTTCCCCCTTCCTGTGGCGCTGCCACAACAACTGATGCCCGTTGCCGCGCCGCCCATGGCCAAGCCGCATGTCTCGCTGCTGGGCTACACGACAACGGCGAGCGGCAGCGGCGGCATGGCGTCCAGCGTCAAGCAACTGATGGCCACGGCAGACACGCCCATGGCCATGTCGATGGCCACACTGAAGCCGAAGTATGGGCCCGCTCTGTTTGACAACTACAGTCAGCAGCAGGCGGCGGCGGAGTTGAAGGCGACATTGCCACCAACGACGCCAGCTACAGTGAAGCTTGGCAGCAGTGTTAGCAGCAGCAGCAGCGGCAGCAGCAACAGCAACAGCGGCAGCTCTATGCCACTGCAGCAGCAGCAACTCCTGCAACAGTTGCTGACATCCATCAAAGCTGCGCAGCAGCAACGCTTGCAACAGCAGATGGAAATGGAAGCAGAGCCGGAGACTGAAACGGAACTGGAACCGGAACTCGAGAACAACGAGCTGCTCAATGACAACTTTATGGCTGCCCTGCAGCGCGAATATCTGGCCAAGTTCGCGGGCCGACAGCAAAAACGCAAGAAGGTCAATCACTTGAGCAAGCCGCAGGGCAGACCCAGGCAGAAGCCGCAGCAGTTGCTGTCGAACAGCGAGGAGCAGTACGACGATTACCAGGACGAGGTGGACACGCGTTACGCGGAGCCAGATGAGCCCAACGAGCAGTATTTGAATGCAGCCAAATCCTGGGCGGAGCTGGGCGAGAACGAGGACGACAGCGCCGCGGCATTCAGTGGACAAAATAATGCGCTTAGTTCGGTGCCCAGTGTGGATGATTTCCTGAACGAAGTCAACGGTAATTCCTATGCGCCCTACTATGGCAGCATGTACAGCCAATATGGCAATACTGGCCACACTGGCCACACGGACAGCAGGTACAGCGAATATGGCAGCACTGGCAGCATGTACAACGATTATGACAACATCGAACCCACAGGCGGATCTGTCTGGCAGGCCACGCCCACTGCTGCATACAACAGCTATCCGCGACCTACTAAGGCCACGCCCATACGACCACGACCACGCCAGCGAGCACGGCCGAGCTCGACCAGTCCGGGACAGAATAGCGGCAAAATGAGATACGTTAAGCTAACGACACGCAAGAAACGCAAGAATCGCATCCGAGCGAAAAGATATCGCATTTAGAGATAAACTGCGTAGTTGCTTATGAAAAGTTAGCATACTTTCTTGAGTCACTCTGCAGTTGGATCGGGCATCTAAACTCACACTTAGTATTACACATATAGATATTGTTATGTTTTGATGATTTGTAGTAAAGATCTTAGAAGAAACGCAACAAATGTTTTCTATTCACTTTAGTTTTTAGAGTGGAGCATTTGGGAAATGCGTTGTTCAACACTGGTAAAAGCAACGTTTTTTGGCCATGCAATGTGCAGAGTTGCCATCTTTGTTCAAGCTGTTAAAATAGACATAAGTGTGGTAAAAAATAGAAATAATTCTTTGCGAAAGCTTAACAGCGAAAATCCATTTCCCTAAGATAAAATTTCCCTTTTACTTTAAAGAACTTAATTGAACAATTTACCAAGTAATCTGAAAACTCATCTGTCAGCCGAGTCCCCACTTACTATAAGGAAATTGCTTATAAAATTAATGAAGAACTCATTTTCTCATAGACAACAAATTGCAGTTACATCGCCATCTTAGCCACTTTGAAATAGTTCGCCTAAATATGCCAAGTAATCTCGTAAAATCTATGAGATCAACTCAGTTAGGCACATTTCTTACCCCAGCATTTAGAGCGATTTCACGCTTGAATTCCTAGACAACTTCAAATTACATTCACAAGCACTTACCTGTAAAGAGATAAAAGATAGAAGAGAAAAGTTAGTCAAATGAAATTTGGTAATATCTCAGGCAGGCAGCACTTAAATAATCATAGTAATTACTAAATACAATTCCATGATGCCTTTTTCGTCTAGTATCCAGTGTCTCTAGCCCACACGAAATTGCTCATCCAAAACAAATAGCATATTCTATTAGAACACAAAGGGCCAGAGGACTTCTCCGCCCCCCCTACATAGGAAAGAACGACAAACCCCAGAAAATGTCTAAGGAAATAAAGTATACGATTAAATGTGCATAGCGAGAAACGAAGCAGGGGAAAGCAAGAAGAGCAAATAATAAGTACAAATGCTAATAAAATTCAATTAAAGGCCACAAAATTACAATAAAAGTGGCTGGGAAACTAACTCAGCAAAGGGTCGGTCGGGTCTATCTGGCCAGAAGAGAGCCTTGGTCGCCATGGCATTGTGACCTCGCCGAGGGTGGGTGGGTTGCGGGTGTCACATGAAAAGTCAAAATTAACGACTCATTTGGGCAAATTGAAGCCATAAACTACAAAGCAGAAGAAGCCAGACCGAACCAGACCCTCCCACAGAATCTGGAGCTGGCACTGGAAGGAAGCCCAAATGCCAACCCCCAAAGCACTGACGTCACTAAGCACAGCAGCCAAAATATAAATTACGCAAAAATTCCAAGTGAGTGACGAGCATGTAGCACAGACAAGGGAGGAGGCTAGGCCAGGCCAGGCCAGTACAGGGGCTATCAGGCTACTCCAGCTGTATAGCTCTCTCTATAGGGTGTTTTCGTTTGCCTCTTGCTTTGTTTATGTGCTCGGTCTCATCCTTTATTTTCGTTTTTGGCAATCATTTTTATTTCATTTTGCTTTCGCTCATAAAAATGTGACACACAAAACGCCCGCCCACTCGCTCAGCCGCCTTCTAGCTGCTAGCGCTCCGACATTTGCTGCATACTTCCAGGCGAAATTAAAAGCGTGCAAGATTTTCATTTGTATGACTGTATCTGTGTGTGTGTGTGAACCGTCGAGAGCGAGACGGACAGCAAAACTTGTACCACTGACGGCTGTATGCTACGATGTGGGCGTGGCATCTGGCATATGGCAAGGCGACACATAAAGTGTTGATGTGTCAGCCACATGACATTTATTGTTTCAGAGGCGTGAGCGCTGACGCAAATTTTCCCCCTGTTCCATCCAAACGTTTATTATCGCCGCCAGATGGCGTCACTGTGCCGCAACAAGTATAAGCTCCGGATGCATACGATGCTGGGCTGACCCCTTTTATTTTGGCGGCCATGTTTGCTGTGGTCTAGTTTTCCAATCAATTTGATAGGGTAAAATGAATAATATTTATTTAAAAAGAGTATACATTTCCCTTATTCTATTTATACGATTATATCGATTACGCCATGGCTGGTTATTAAAAAATTCATATTTTATTTTAATAAAAATTTAAAAATTGCAACTGAACTTATTTAAATGCATATGCAAGCCAACTAAGCTTGATCCATTTTATTCAGATTTTTTTTTCGCAATTTCAAATATTACTCGAATAGGTATTCAAGTTGGTTGTTTAGTTGTTTGCATATTGTCAGCACTTTAAATACATTGCTTGATATATACCCATATATATCGGCAAAATTGTCCAACTTGAGTGAAACATTTATCGTTTTCCATTAAAATTTGCCTTTTGTTCAATGAGTGTCTCATAAAACGCGGATGAGGGGGGGCTGTAACGATCCAAAATTACGTGAATTTGTTTTAGAGCCCCCCCAACAAACAACTTTATAAGCATCATAAAAGCAGTGACATAGATTAACCAAACATCCATATAAATTTATATCATTGCATTTAATTTCATGTTTTCGCAATATCAAATTAATTCGCCAGCTGCGCGTTTCCTGTACGGTTTTTAGGCCTCCCGCTCGAGCAGAGAACATTAAATGAGATGAATAAATAAATATAGCATTATCACTGCAATTTCGCCTCGAAGCGTATCATTTGTCATCCAACGGAGAGTCAGGGCCACACAATTCCAGACTGTAGCCTAGTTTCGTGTTAGTCAATCCTCGCGGGCAGTGGCTGGCATAAAAATGCAATGGCAAACAATTCATTAATTTAATTAATTTGTGGCAATTAAATGGGGCACACCGAGAGAGAGAGAGAGAGAACGAAAGATAAATGGAGAGCGAGTCGAGCGAGTGCTGCTGCTGTTTTTGCCCCATGGGGCAAATAGAAAAGACGCACAGTCATCATCAGGTCTACGCTCGGGTCATTAGTTATACGCATGTATCTAGGGGCTGCCCCTTCTCTCTTTCACATGCTCTTTCTCTCTGCTTTGGTCTGTTTTATTTTCGACCTGCCCATCATCTGGGGTCCCATCAATTCCACAGGACGCGCCCTCACATGTGGCTCTCTGCTGCTGTTGCCACCAAAATGGGTTAAGTGGGTGCCTTGCCCCTTTACGAAACGCAAATAACAACAAGCTGGCTGCCATTGTTCAAGGTGTTGAAATGTGGCACTTAGCTGTGACGCAAATCCAACAACAAGAGAAGAAAAAAAAACACACACATACATATATTTATTTACCACGTGTCTACTAAATGGGCAGGTGTTGCGGCACTCAAAAGAACACGCCGTATTCGAAGCAAACGAAGACGAAGACGAACGACACCTATACAACAAACATACTTCAAATGCTCTTAATTGCTTGTCATCGCGTCGAGACAAGCCAAACGAAATGATTCAGCTCGTGATATGATTAAAGAGCGCCGTGCACTTGAGATGTGAAACACATTATAATTACAGGTATCAGAAACAGCTAAAAGGTGTTAGCTCTAGAACTCTTTAAGGAAACAACAAAATGTTTCTTTATATTGCAATTAACAAAACTTTTTTGTATGGAAAAAACGCGACATAATATGAGAAGAATTGAGAGCGAGGGATAGAGAGAGGGGGATATAGAGAGTGGGAGATATATAATAATAGATAAAACAATATATATATATTTTTATCATATATACGTTTTTTTTTACACCCTGAATCCATTTGGTATTTATTTAGATCGTTTTAAATACTATTTACATGATATATTATTATTCAGCTCTATTGGGAATGCATAAAAAACGTATACATTTAAAAAAAGTAATCTGAAATTAATTTTTCTAATTTTGTATTCACTGAAACTATTTTAAAAATCCACGTAAAGTTTTTTTATCGAAAATACACAGCTATTTTCTTTTAACCTTTTCCAATTATCTCGCCAGCTTTTATGCTGCATATTTAGCGTATGCACTGGGGGTTGTGTTCCCATGACCCCAAAACGATTAGTCCGGATCGCATTTGCATAAATAAAGCCCCAAGCAGAGACCACACCAGAATTAAAGTGCTCAGCGGCATTTGTCATGCAGTCATCAGAGCGACGACCGCTGGGCAGTCGAGCAATTTAATTAAAATGAAAAGTACGAACTGCAACAACAACAACAGCAACAACAACAACAAGGACGACAACGACAAGTCAGAATACTCGCGAGTATTCCGAATGTATTACAAAATGCTAATTAAATGCCATGAAATTGGGGCAAGCCTCACAAATGTAAGCCACTAATCGCGCCCACGCGCTTGGCCAGCGCATGAGGGCGTGCCAGGGGGGCAAACACTCTTTCGTTTACATAAACATATTTTTTTTCTGCAGCCAGTCTCAAGTGCATTGTGTTCAGCAAAAAAATTACAAGTTCTTGTGACAATTTGCGGCAATTAAATGAAATTACTTTTGTGTGTCACATGCATATGACTGCGTATGGGGATGATGATGATGATGAGTATCGCTGTCATCACCAGTTAAATGGGCTTCACTTAAACACACACACTATGATGCAAACTATTAATCTGACTAAATACTTGCAATACTCAAACTACAGCAAATTTATGATTATAAAATATATTCTTTAAGTAACTATTTAAAATGGGAATGAGTATGCTTAAACTACAAATTTAAAATATAACAACAGTGTTGTAAAACAGCCTAGAAAAATATAAATAATTCATCTCTATGAAGTATAAACATATATTTACACATATACACAATCAAAACAAGGCAACATTTACAACATTTTACAGTAGACTAGCAAAAAAGCCAGTGTTATAAAGCGTTATCAGCATGCACAATTACTTTGTAATATAAAGCTACAAATATTTGCAATAATAACTTCATTAAAAACTTCTTTTGCAGTTGCACCACTTGCATTATTTTTTTTTGGGAATTTTTTCGACTTTCTAGAGAATTTATCCAAATATATAAAAACGATGAATATTTTTGTTTACTGCAATAATTAATTGTTTTCTGCTTATATAATAGCAAAAAGTAGATCAATACATTGATTAATGTATCGGGGAGAACTTCTTAAACCTAGCATTT